AACACAACACGGTCTGCCTCGCACCCTGAACATTTGACTTGTTTTGTTAATCTCGAAAATCATTCGAAAGCAACGTTTTACTTTTCCTTCGCTTTTTCTCATAGTTTTTTTTTTTTTTTTTGTTTTTCTTTTTGAAGAATTTCTCTTTTCTGTCTAAATATCAAATTTCAGATAATTTACAAGCAGAAGTAAGAAAAAGAAAGAAAAGGAAAAAGAAGACCAAGTAGAAAAAGAGATTTTTATGTTCATCAAGATCAAGAGCTCCAAAAGTTTTAAAAAGGCACGCATGAGCATACGAAATAAACTCCGAAGTAAAAACAGCTCTAATTTCAATCATGCGAACAAACACAATAACATTTGCTAAGCAGCTGTGTATAGTAAACTATTTTTAGTTAACAAACAATTATTTCTTATATGCTATGCAAACACATGTATTCGCTCATTCACTTATGTCTGTCCGTATATGCCCACATATCCTGTATGCCACTTGTATTGTGTCGGATAAATAGAAGCACACTAAACACCAGACAACATTATGTTATTTAAATTTTGACCAATATGCCACTTAACATATACATATATATATATATATGCGCAGGTAAACATCATTTGTATAACATACATATTTGAATGTATGAAGAAATTGAGTACAAATACAATTTTCTTTACTGAATATTTGTATCCTATAAAAGGAATTCGGGAACTTTTCAAGAGTGAAGGCCCATGAAAAAGATGTATATAAAATCTTACGAAGTCATGAAATTTGATTATTTAATTCCATGCACACAAATAAATAAGAAATTTTCACAAAGTTGGAATTCGTCGAGAACCTTATACAGGATAACTAACTGCGTGCATAATCCTCATTTAATATTGTTAACTAAAAACAATAGTATCCAGATTGGAAACGTGTCGGGACCAAATGCTTGACTTTTGAAATGTTATGCATTTTGATGTGAGCGGGATGATATCGCCTTAAGTGAAAGTGGAATTAAATTAATCACGCCAACGTGCTATTATGCTGTCAGTTTTAAAATTCGCAAATACTTTCGAATACCCATAACATAACACATATTTAATTATTAGCATAGGGATCCGGCCATGTGCTACATGCATTGACTTTTTTTTTATAAGTCGTCTCAGTATTTTTCTTTTGATATCGATCAAGAGATTTGCTCACAAACGTATAAATGATAAAAAAAAAAAAGGAAAATTTTTCAAAAAGAAAATCTAATCTTTTCTTAGGGACTTTTCATGTTCATATGCTTGCTCGTTTTGAGGTTATGTTTTGAAACTTTATTCACATTTTCGCGTATAATCACGAAATAAAAAAAAAAATTTGCGTAAGCACTTTACTATAATCCCGCGTGCATGAAAGACACAGATAAGTAAGCGGAAAGAAAATTGAAGAAATTGTTTACGCGTATTGCCGATGATATCCAAAATTTTACGTCTACGTGTTGCTCTTAAAAAACTGAAGTGTCTCGATAATTGTGTGAACAATGGACTCGCTGTAACCAGCAGTGTTTACAATTCTCGTAAAATTGCCATCGAGTAACATATTCAAAATACTATATTTTCACTATATTACTTGGAGTTGAGAACCATAAATCAGTGCGTAAGTTACTTTACTACATTAAAAAAAAAAAAAACTGTTGGGAAAAATTAAAAGCATTTTCCATCAAAGAAGAGAGTCCAACAAAAAGACGACTGAAAGATTGTTTCGATTGTTTAATACAATCCTCTTCATTTCAGAAACCATATTGTAGGCTACTTAAATGCTCGCAATTAAAATACCTATTTCAGATTCGCGCAAAAGCCAATAACGCTTCTATTTTTTTTTCTTTCTCTCAACTACCGAAAATGTACGTTTAACAGAAAAAGCTTTATTGAGAAAATAAATAAATAAATAAATGAAAAAAAGTATGTGGTAATTTTTTAAAGAAGGCCTAAGGCTCGTTAAAATATTAATTTAATCTTATTAATATTTATAACATTTTAGCTGTGACTTATTTTTAACGTTATCAAACACGGACACACACAAACACTTATATATATATATATATATATATATATATATATATATATATTATACATATATGTACGAAAACGTGGACAAGTATGTGTAAGTGCACACGTACCCCTATGTAACTTCGTCATGACCATTTGTAATACTTTTATATGATAGATTTCATGCGTTTGAAAACCGCAACCACAAACCATTCTTTAAGTTAAATGAGACGTCTTTGCATTTTCGAATCCATTACAAAATGTTAAAAACTCTTATCAAAATGATTTGTATGCATGCACATACGTACATACTTTAATTACATAGAGGACAATCTTTATTCATATATATATATATGTGAATATGTGTATGTATTTATGTATGTATATATATTTATGTGTGTATTTGTGTATTTATGTATGTAGTGCATCTTTGTGTGCTACAGTTTATTTGTATGCCTCATAAAAACCTTGTTTAAATAATTAAAACGCGTCAATATATGGAAAAATATGTACATAATATGAACTTTTTGATACCATTTACAAAACAATACCGACATCCATCCGTACGTACAGTCAAATATAATGCATACGTACGTACATATCTACAACATTTCGTTGGATGTGTTTGGGTTTTTGCCTGTATTCATGTGTCCGTATGTGTGTACGTGTATTTATATGAAAATTTACTAGTGTATTCTGATTTCGTTGTTTTAAGTGACTCAGATTTGGATTAAAACGTAATATATAAAAATTATTAAAGAAAAAAATTCGCAGAGAAAGAGCGAGACTGCACTATAAGCAACTGACTATATTTCAAAACAGTTAAGAAATTTGAAATAAAAAAATAATGTTATGAAGATGTATAGCAATAACGAGCTTTAAGGTTTCATAACATGCTGAATGAAACAAACATAAATTCTTCTACGTCTCTAAAGCGCGTATTCTTCAATAATTGATCGGGAATCGGAAAAACAAACCTTCGTTTTCTTTTAGTTTACATATCTCATAATTATATCTGAAATATTTCTAATTATGAAAAAAATTTAACTTCATCAGATCATGAAAGATGAAAACTGATCAAAGTTCAAGCGCCTACAAGCAGATCACTCGATCTGTGCACTTGAGCAAATTGAACTTTGCAAGAAAAGAAGGATTTATATGCAAAAATCTTACAAAGAACATCAAGCCCGAATGTATATTTTTAGCCATTTTTCACGGACAATAACATATTTCTAATGGTAAACTAAAATCAATAACGGATTTTAATACGAATTCAAAGCTTTTTACGAGCATTTAAAATTTTGACTCTATAACAATTAAAGTCATATTTCAATGTTATATCTACCTTCACCTGTGGCTTTTTGACGTAAATAATGGGTAGCCTAAAATATACCGAGCCTTTTAATTGCTCTATTCAATTCTTACACTCACGCAGTCATCCTTGCCATTACGTAAGCGCAGCGTTTAGGTCAATAGAAGCCGCTCTCGCCATTTATCTGTATTTATCATACCTCGATTTTTTCTTTGATTTTATCGGGTAAAGTGTGGCTTTGCATCGATACATTCATATTACATACTGAGGACATACAAATCTTCCAATCAATCCGAAAAATATACTACAATTTTTATTGTGAAAAATGAGAGGTCCTGAGAATGAGTCATTATCAACGCATTCATACATTTGCTTCACTCTTTGCACTTAAATTCCGTATTGACGTACGAGTGCGCCGGATAAGATTATCTAAAAGGACGTCATGAAAAAGAAAAACAAAAGCTAAGATAAATGTAAATTGCCGTAAAGAGAAGAGCCATCGTTCGTTTTTTCGGAAAAATTAACGAACAGATCTGCCTTCAATTATAATTTTTTTTTTTGGAAATTTTTATCAAATATATTGACTGTTAAAAATTGCTAAAAATATTTTTATTAATCTTTTAATTTCCAACAGTTTTGTAAAAATTGCCTTTGAAAGGTTTTCTCTAAAAGAAAAAAAATATTCAACTCAAATTTTCTAAATTTTTCAAATAATAAAAAACAATTGAAAAAAAGAAAATTGAAAATCTTTTTTAATTGCTCACAAAGCATTCCATAAGAATTATAAAAACTTAGTTAAGCAAACAACTGTTAAGTATTAAAAGTTTTTATAATTGAAGAAGCACGTGAACATTGCAGCTTTTTTAAGGAATCGTTCAAATACGTCATTCATAACGATCTCTTCATAAACAATGGATTTAACCGGACTTTGCATTCTATCATATAAAGACGCAAAAATTGATTGTTTATATTCCTCCCTCTCTCTCTCTCTCTCTCTCTCTCTCTCTCTCTCTCTCTCTTTCTCTCTTTTCATTGTCGCCTTAAGTTTTCAAATTCGAAGTAATTTCCGACCTGGCTTTCATATATTAAGATCACTTTAAACTTGATTTCTAAATAAAAACTTTGGTGGCAATAATGGCAATGCTGACCAACCTCCAACAGCTTCGTGTTAATTGCGGTCCTTGTTGCGGGTGTGTAAACTTTTAGACGATCGTGATTCGAATTGAGCTTCGAAGAGACTTTTATTATGAGCCATTATTCGTCAGGGATTACTACAGGAAAATGTAACGGAATTTTCGAATTTTTTACTTGAATTGGGCGAATTACACATTTAGTTAAGTATGGATCTCAAAGTTCCGCTTTCGTTTCAACGCTTTTTAAAAGGTCAATGAGTATTTAAAAGTGTTCAACAAATCCTTTTTCTCTTTCCCTGCCTGCTTACGTCTAGATATTTCCAACTTATTCAAAAAATTATTAAATACTCATTTGTCGACGATCCTGCATGATAAGCTTACATAGTGTTTACGAATATTCAATTATTTGTCGAAATATTGTCGACTAAACTAAATCTAAATTTTGGTTTACAAGATATGATTATGATCAATAAGAAGTTGTTGAAAAAGGAAAATTAACCATTGCGAAATATTTTGTAAATTGAAATAATTGAATTTGTACTTACTTTCTTTCACGTATGACATCACGTAAAAAATCCATGGCCTCGTATAGACTCCATTTTGGTTTAAATCCGTTACCCATCAGTTTAACGTGAGCCAGCTCACGCCGATAGGATTCTCGTAGTGATTTAAAGGCTCGCGCCACCCGCTTGCCGGGCGCATTGCATTTTTTCCCAATCATTTCCCAGGCACGATTTTTCTCCTCCTCGGCACCCTTGAAATTAGGCAAACGAGAATCCCATAATATAGGATTGTCATGAACCATCTGAATGAGTTTCAATTTATCGGATGCATTCCGGCGAACTACTGCAAGTAAATCGAGGGTAAATAAGAATTGTTCTTTAGTCATTGTATCATGATAAGCAATAACACTATTTTTAGCTAGCATTTGTTCTTGTATTGAATTAAGTTTATTAATTGTTGCTGTTGTTGTCTTTGCTTGTACTCTTAAAAGTTCGTTTGAATCTAAATTTTTACATTTCGAAACCTTTCCAGACTTTTTAGAATTTTTTATAAAATTCACAGATTTATTGGAAGTTTGAAAAAATTGTCTAAAATTACATTTTTTAATTTTTTGCGGCGGCTGCTGCTGCTGAGATTGCAGCTGCGTTTGGGGTTGTTGCTGTTGTAATTCCGTTTTTGGTTTGAGATCCAACGCCAAAGCTATAGCGGCGGCAGAGGCGGCGGCGCTAGCATTCATTTCACTCGAGGATCGAGATCGTAATTCGTTTATTGCAAACTCTGGCCCTCGCAGTTGCTGTTGATTGGTTGGACTACTACAGCTACTACTCAAACAGCTAGCAGGTGAAAGAAGGACCTTAGGAACTGTTTGAAAGCTCATTAAAATTGATTTAATTACAAATTACTTTTATTTTCAATTGTTTTAAAATATTCAAATTTTTTTTTTTTTTAGTTTTTCTAGCTCATGTTTGAATTTTATGCAATTGGTATGGCACGGAAAACAATATCACTTTCAATGTTTTACATTTTTTATTTGCTTTGTTTCGATGTAATTGATTTATTTATTATTATATTTTTCCTTTCTTTCTTCTAATTCTTGTTCAGCTACCCTCTCACAACCAAGTTTAAAAACCAACTAAAAGCCATACTACACGAAGACTAACCACCCCAGCCTAACAGAGCCCGCATCAAAAATCGTTTTCAAAATAAACCAAGCAAAAACAACTACAATAACACAGCTAATATATATGTGTATATAACTGTTTGTATATGTATGTATTCAATAAATTCGTCTTAGAACCAAAATGCCATACAACACACGATCGTTTATTTCATAAACAATAACAACAATAACAGAAAACATAGTCAGGCTTGTTTCTTCTTTCAAATAACTCAGGCTAAATGCGCTCACAATCGCATATCTACACATATTTGCTTATATGAATGTTAGTACAGCACAAATAAGCAGAGCAAACAACGAATATCGCATAAAACCCATAGTATAAAAGCAAAAACAAAATAAAGCGAAAATCACGCTTAAACACATTCAACGATTTTAGAGTTTTCGAGGTTCCCGACTGCAGCGGCTGTTGCTGCCAAAAGAAAAACCAAAAGAAAAAAAAAAACCCTCTTTAAAGTAAATTCTATTCTATCTCACAACAGAAACAACAACAACGGTAAATTGAACTTACATTTTGGTTCATTTAACGGTAGAAGAGATCTAATAAAAACAAAAACACATTCTAGCAGTTTTCATAAATATACGTGCATGTGGACATGTGTGAGCCTATATACATACTGCAAAGAAATGAATGTAAACTATTTACATTCTAAAAGAGAGGTCGTAATTCTTGCTCTCTCCTTTCAATTAAATCGCTCATATATGAAACGCTCTCGCATTGCTCTTAATTCTTTCCTTGGCACGAAATTTTCATACATTTCACTTTTTATAGAAATCTTTTATTTTTAACGAGAACTTTTTAAGCCTTGTTAAATTTCCTACGGAGAGGCCGTTTTTTTTTTTTCTTTTCTTGGATTTTCTAATTCTCTTTTTGCCCTAAACGTTACTCATGGCAATTTTTTACAATTGTTCGTTTTTTCACTGTACAGAGATTATTGAGATCAATTCTTTTTTAGTTTTTACATACGTTTTCTCGACAAATAAATGAAGTTTAAGCTCAATGAGCCTGACTTTCATGAAATCTGTAAGAGTAAAAAAAAAGAAGAAAAACGACGAATAAAAGATCCCGTTATAAAATGCTTTAATACGTGTGTATAATTGTAAATTGTATATATAATATTAGCCAATATTATTCAGTTTTCTTAAGACATTTCTCACGAGGTTTATCTTTAAAGCTAGAAAATTATTTATAACGTAATTTGATTGACACAAACTCTTAAGCAAATATCAATAAAAATAATCAAGAAAGTCATCTTAAACCAAACGTCTGCGGAAAAAAGCCCAGAAAGCATTGATTTCTCTGTGGGTTAGCCTCTGTTCATCACAAAAAACGGCTGTTTTCTAAGTCCTTTACATTTTACATAATAAAAAGCCAACTTTTAAACCCCCGTTTTATGTCTTGCGTCGTATTTCGTGCGCAGGGTTGAAAAGATAGAAGGGATAAGCAAGTTTCAAATTGGTTCGTTTGGAAGATTATAAACGCATGGCAAAGAAAGTTGCTACTGTTTTAGCTTTGCTTAGTGTCAGTTTGAAAAATACTAACTTCGTAAACTTTTTCTTATAATCAATATGAATCGGCGAACCAATTAAATTCAATCCACTTAACGCGTAGGCTTTGCAAGCTACGTTTGACGCTATTCAAAACGTGGGCAATAAACGTAGGCAAATTAACTTTAAAAACAAAATGATTAATCAGCAGAATATTTAGAAATGGGCAAAAATTCAAAATATGTCCATGTATTGCATCTCATTTTTGTTTCTTGGTTAGCAATTCCTTACGAAAAGAATGTCATAAAACACTCGTCTATACATATCGCACAAGTAAGCTTCGCAGAGATTATAGTATTATTAGCAGGTCTTCCAACTAACCAAAGTTTAAACCACGTCTACAAAGCAGACCAGCCTTTAACAAGGCATGTACCTCTCTTTTAAAACTCTTCTCACTTACCTTTTGTTGCTAGAGAGCGTTAAAGAAGGCATGTATGTGACAAAAAAAAAAAAAAAAGAATTCAAAAACTTCATAGCAATAAAACATATGGAATACGCAACTTTCTACTAAAATAATGTGTCCAGAATTTTTTTTTGCTAAACGTGGGAATAGAAAAATATATTGAATAATGAGAATTTGCAGTGTTACGATGATGAAGGTTTATAAAGATCATAAATTATTAGGTGGTATAAATCATTTAATCAGGGCTCGGAATTAGTCGAAGACGAACCTCGTTTGGGGGGACCGTCAACCTCAACTAGGGATGAAAACAACATCAACAAAATCAAAGTGCTTGAGCTTATCAACCGCTGACTGACTCAAAGAGATTTTGTAGAGACAATTTTGAAGGATGGTTGTCTACTGTTTCGCGCGTCTTCTCATCTTGTACAAAAAGTTTTGCAGTTGTTTGAAAAACAATGTCGGGTTGAAAGTGTTGAAGTGTCAAAAGAAACGCCTTCTATGCGTGATAATGATCAAAAATCTTTAATTACTGCACATAAAACTTTGATTTATGCTCATGCCCTGGAAAAATCTTAACAATCTAGTGAATATCGCGCTACAGGTGATAAGATTGTTTAAAAAAAAAGAAGGCTATTACTAAACCAATAGTCATACCATTACATCAATATACGTTGATATCATAGTGCGAGTATTTAAAAAAAATCGAAAGTGGGTATTTTTTCCCCTGTTACGAAGTTTTTCCAACAGCATTTTGCGGATTTTTTAGTGAGCACTCTCCAAGTTCCTCAGGCAACCGTTAACAACGGTGTAAGTAACAAATTTTATGTCATATAATGAAGTCAACTAAACTTTAATATTTGGATGCAAGTGCTACTATTATCAATAGAATATTTCGCTGCAAGGCTTAAAACTCCTGTATAACGATCTCCATATATTCTCTTAACACGCAATTACAGGACAGACTCGTCCTTGAAATTTTAAAAACATGTTGAATATGAAATAAACTTTAAATTGTGTATATGTACATACATATATTGTATATTTCATTTTCACTATAATACCACCAAAAGAACCTAACATGTGTAAACGATATCAGATTTTAGTTTATAAGACGCTGTTTCCGTTATATTAACTATAAAAGAAAAGAAAACTCCACAACTTGAAATATCATTCACTCTAAACGTAATTCTTGGGTGCCTTGCACTAATATCATCGACCGACTCATTTTTTAAGAGAGAAATGAGCTCATGGAATGTAATGATTAACATATTCATCTCAATTAAACAGTGTCTCGTAAAAAAAATGCAAATTTGCTAATATGCAAAACAACTGTTATTCCGCAATTATATTCATCTCAATGAACGTTCACATTTATCGAATATTGTATTTTACCCCTAACATAACACGTTTGAGCAACTTAACATATCAGATGAATGTGTTACTGTTTTGCAATAAATTGCAAATTTCAAGGTTCCTTCGGGTCTTTCCTAAGGGAAAGACCTGAAGTACAGCTTAAGTCTTTGAAGCACTTAACTTTACAAAATAAAAAGCGCACTTTTGTACAGAAATTTATTCCATTCTAAATTTCAACTTATTTTGTTTTTTACATGAAACAAGCGAACTTAATAAAAACAAAATAATAATAATTTAATTATGTACTTAGGGATTACAAACAGCGACACCACATCTTACCGATTGCGTCAACTTTGTTGATATATTTTATAGAGGCATGAAAAACATTCCAACAGGCCTATACATGTGCAAAATAAGCATCGCTCTTTAAAGAGTTAATGTGGGTTTTTTTCTTTCTTTGGTAAAATTCAACTTTCCGTAACTATAATGTAATACATACAATAACAAGACGAAAAACAAAAGAGCTTTGCTTTAATATAGACTCACATTTTAGTTTATGTTACACTTTTTGTACTTAACATGAAAATTTAATTTCTTTCCGTGAAGTCTTTTATAGAATTTGAGTAAAAAATTTCTATGGCTCTCGTGACTTCTTTGTAGTGAATTTGATTTTCGGAAAATTTGCAACTATTTTCGGGATAACTGTTCGTTTACAGATGTGTGGGTATATATAAGTCAATTGCAACAATTACCCCTAGATTAGAATGAAAGGAAAATAAAAAGAGTGAGATTATAAACTTATTAAACACTTTATAGGATAGAAAGAGAAAGATTGCAATAGTATTTTAACACTATAATGCGATTAATTTAATATGTAAAGAGACAGGGCCAGAATGAATGGATGAGCAATCTGAGCATTTTATAAAAAAACATGGGGTGAGGTATTTTTTTAAATTGAATAAATCTTAATGAGAATTATAAGTTTTGTTAATATACTCGCAGCGACGATATTATTCCACTCACAAATCGTATATTATTCATGGCGAACGCTAGCCGACCCCTACAAAACTTATTAGAATATGGCAATGCTTTTTATTATAAGTTTATCTAGAAATGATGAAAAAATATGTTTTAAATTTACTATTAGGTTTGCAAAATATATTATTAAAAAACTTTTCTTGCTGTTTTTCTTGATCAAAGCATCTTTAGAATACAATTTCTTAGCACTAGAACCACCGATATTTTCTACACACCTATTTGTACCAAGTTGAGTCACATTTGCCCACTTTTTTGTAGAATTGTTACAGTCACAAATATGAAGGTAGAAAACTTTCTTGCTTATACAGTATTCCTCAAACCATCAGAAGAATAAGGTTGAAAAATAGGTGTTATCGTTTCGCAGAAGCGCTCACAATAACCTCGAAGAGACTGAAAATTCTTATCCAAATTTTTCCGAAAAAATATTATTTAAATATTCTTCAGAAAAGTGCAATTTGCTAATACACTACAAAGAATTTCTGCAATTTTTTTTATTTTGTTAAATGAGTCGGGAGATATCCTCTATACGTATATAAATTTAATTATGGCCAAAAAAAAAAACAAAGAAAGTAGGACACGATGTGAACGTAGCCTGGAAGCTATATTTCTATTCGGTAAATGTTATGCTCTTCATTCAGCTACAATTCACTTTAGTTCGGCCAAATACGAGTCGTACATAAAATACGATCTACCGCTCACTGGGC